AGAAAGAGCCTTAAGCAACCAACTCGTCATGAGCGGTATCAGCCCCAAAAAAGAAACATTTGACTGTCAAAAAAGGTGCAAGTGTTGATTTTGAGTGTAAATTATTTGTATTGATTTATATATCGCTGTGCAGTTGTTGCAAAAAAAATGCAAAAAACTTAAACAAAAGTGGAAGCGAGTTCAAGAACAGCACATCAGTTTCTTACTCTACAATCCAAACAAACATATTAAAAATAAGTCTGATTTTGCCAGAAAACCCTAAGCAAGTTAGCAAAGGCTGTACATTGAAGTATGGAGACCTCACTAAGAATTTGGGGGTTGGCGAGGTAATTTCAGGCTTAAGTCTGGGATTTAATTGCTGTTTCAAGAGCAAATTATGTTTGTGATGAGACAACAGTATGTAGAACAGCAACTGAAGTAAAAGAAAATTATATTTGTATATAATAAGGAGTAAGACTTAAATCTTCCACAGAAAGCACTGATGCGTGTTTCAGGCTCTGATCTTGCAGCTTGTTGTGCTGATGCGTCAGCTGTAAACAGATTTTGTGTGGAGATCCAGAGGGAGATGGAAACATCCTGTCAGCCCTTGACTCGCTAAGTCAGGAGCCATGTTCTGGATGACGCTCCGACTGAAAAAACAAGAGCTCAGATCAGTCAGAGCGAAGCAGAATGTGAGAGATACAGAGGAGGACTGAAGGCATCTGGTGGGTATCATGACGCTGTGTCACATCAAGTATTCTGCAGTTCCTGAACTGGAGTGGAACATGTCCTGGAGGACAGATACTCGCCTGCTTAGACTATGAAGAGTACGAAGAAAACCACAGACACAGATAACTTTATTTTAGCCCATTTTCAAACTTCAACAGGGCTCTGTTATCATTTTAATTATGAAAAAACTGTTACTTTTTGTTTGCTCTTTTAAAAAACAAAATTAAAAACACAACACACTTCATCCCTGTACAGTTGATTAATACACGTACTGTGTGATACTCAGTTTTTCACAGTTTAGGTCATCATTTAACAATTGCACCTTACATTTTCTTAACAGAGGCACTGAACTGGTGATACTTTTTTTTATCTGCTTATTAACTACTTGTTGTTGTTATCAGCTTTATAAAGGAGCAAATTCTCTTCTTTGTGTCCCTGTTAAATGAAGAAAATAATTTCAAATCCTTCTTTGCACATACAAAGTCCTGAATGTTTAAGCCCTGTCACATTTTAAAGTACTCACCACATCATACTATTCCAAAAGGACATTTTGGTCCAAGACTGCAGGCTTACATGTGGTGCCTAGAGTTTCTAAAATTAGAAAGAGAGGCAGAGACTTCAGTTATCAGACTCCTCTCCTGTGAACCGGCTTCCAGTTTGGGGTCAGAATTTCCTTTCTTGTGTAGCTTACAGTTAGCCTGGTTCTTACTGAACTATCCCATATGGGTGCATAAATAGCTTGAGACTGCCAGGGAAGTTCCCATGAAGCACTGAGCACTTTTCCTCTATTCCCCTCTTTTCATATATTTACATGTGTGTCATAAATTTTTTGGTTTTCTTTCCTCTAGTTTTTGTTTTGTCGTTGGCCTCTTTATGCTCCTTTTTCTCTTCTCTTTCCCTTTATTGCCAAACCTGCCCCTGTCCTTCCCCGAGCCTGGTTCTTACAGAGGTCTCTCCTGTTAAAAGGAATCTGATTTTTAGGGGTTTCTCTCTAACATTATAGGTTTTTGCTATTGCTAGATCATTGCCATATAAATGAGATTGAGCTGGACATACTATGTACATGTATATAAATTGCAGACTGGCTTTTCAAGTTTCAGTTTCCAGGCTGAGAAATCCACACCTTTAATTTTGATAATGGAAACAGATTTTCAGTTGCTGGTTATTCTGATGTTACTGTGTGACCCACTGAATTCCTCATCTGTACTGGACTTCGCCTCGTCAGTGCTTCAGTGTCTGTTACCTGACCTTGGCAGGTGCACCTGCTGTAAGCTGATCCGTCGCCCCGAAGTGGAGATCAATGTGGATCTCCACATCAAAGTGGACGACTTACACCGAAAGCCTGTTTGTCTTATTGAGCGATGCCATTAAACGGCCAGTGAGAGGAGGAGGATGGAGAGAGGCAGCGTTTGAGTGTGGAGTCATGTGTCCGTCCTTTCACTGAGGTTTAAATAGCGTCATGTTCACAGTTTAATGTAGTCAAAATGGAAGCAACTAACTCAGCTGTGACCCCAGTGGCACTACCAAACAAACAAATTCGGTCTACTTTAAAGTTTCCTTATGTTGTAAGTAGATACAATTTTGGAACTTCATCAAAAATCTTTTTCCTCATCCTGTAATGTTCCTGTAGAAACATCAAATTTAAGGTGAATCTCATCTGCTGTGGAGTTGAGCTATATGAATAACCTGACCTCCAGTGGTGGGTGTGTCATCCCCCTCATCACCGGACTCCACTGCAGTGTCAGTGGGAGTCAGGAGATCCTCAGTGTTCTTTCCACCACCCGACTATATCCTCAGTTGAAGTCAGCAATGCCCCGGCCACTCTCTACACAATGAATCTGAGTTTGCTCAGCTGTAGACTGTAAAATATTTTTCTTATCAGTTTTGTGGTTAACATAACAAAATCTGAAATGCCTTTTTTATGTCAGCGCTTGACAATTAAGTCAACTCAGTGAGATACAACTGAGGGCTCCAGCTGTGAGAAACAAATATGAGGACTCTCCATCTGTGTCGTATTAGTACCTTAGTGCCTCTGGTGAGGTCCATTTACACACTGGGTCATTAGTTAGAGAGATCTGTCACTGCCAACTGATGTGTAGCAAGCAGTGTTACTGTAAGTAAGAAGTGTGGTTTAAGCACTACAATCTTTTCCTGAATAGGTTTTAGTGCTTAAACCTAATTAAACCAAATGTCATAGACAGTAAAAACTAAATTAACAAAATCTACAAATTCCAAAACATAACGGTATCAGTGGGGCACAAACCTGCACCTTATGCCAACATCACCCCGTCTGTCTAACGTGGAACATGTAAGTAAAACTAGACTGTTATCTCTCAGCAGCGAGGCAAGAACACTAAATGAGGCCTTGAATTAGTTTATACACTGAAATGTTAGCTCTATGACAAAAAATAATAACAATGTTTTGCAATATTCCTTAAAAAAACAAACAACACCCCCCACTAATGAGTTAGAAGCATGATTTTAAGAAGCATACGAGCATGATCCAAGCCTATTTTGGTGTATCAAAGTCTATAAGCAATTTACAACTTTAAACTCAACATCTGCTCTCTGGCCTGAAACAGCCTAATAAAAGACACAGTTTGTCACTGTGCTGTCACTGTTTCAGCTTTGACCCGAAAATCTTCACTTTTTGCTGCTCGGAGCAGAGGCTTCCTCAGGGAGCGGCTGCATGCTGAAAGAAAGAAGCACTGCAAGACCGCAGGAGCAGGAGAAAAGACGAAAAATAACCTCTAACATCTCAACTCCATTAATATTACACGCTCGTGTCTGTACAATACAGTGGAATCTCAGCCTGCTTTATCCTCTAAATAATTCACGCAATAAAATCTTTTCTCTCTATAAAGCCCTTAAACTCGTCTCTTCTTGGTGCCGCTCCAAGTGTAGGATGGGAAAAAAGAGACTGTGGTAGACTGCGAACAAAGAGTAACCCAGAAGAAACAAAAACTTATATTTATTTGGAACAAAGACATATTCCAAATCTGAGCTTTGTTGCTTCCTTGCTGACTGAATACAAATATCTTTTTGATATATCTTTAGAAAAGTCAGAAAGTATGGAATTGTTTATCTATATCTATTTTGGAGGAATTTTAATCCTGTTGGGTCATTTTAAAAATAAAAACAAAAAGCTCTTCAGTCAACAAATTTAAATTTTTCTCTATGGTAAGTCACATTTTATAATCATGTTGCCTGTTTAAACACAAAAAAGGTGTGAAAGTCTTATGGACATTAAAAATACTTTCAGATTAGAAAACAAACTTTTTCTGCAACATAAACTAAACATCTGTCAGTTTTTGTGAAATTGTAGCTCCATAAATATTCCTTGGACACAAGATCACATAAGACGAACAAGTTCAGCTCTAATGTTGGTGTTTTGTCCCTTGAAGAGCGAATATGAAGAGCAAACTAAGGGAATTAGATTTGATACAGACATAAATTTATTCAATTTAAGCTGTTAAAGATTTTATGTTACAGTCTAGGCATAAAAACTGCAGCTATTTCATCAGACAATGGATGATGTTTGGATCAAAATCAGTACTCTTTGTTGCCATAAGAAACAAAACTGACACTCTTCTTTTTGTTTTTAGTTGTCTCATAGCCAAGTTATCCCTTATTAACAACTGTACACTTTTTTCTACATTTAACAAAGAAATTTGTATTAAGAGCTAAAGTTTAGCTTTAGTAGGGGCCTGATTGCTTTAAGTGACAGATGGAATCTGACTAAGACAGCTGTAAACATCTGTTAGACTTCACCTCAGCTTCAGTTGCACAGATGCAGCCTGCTAGCAAAGCTTGTGTTAGCTAATTAATTAGCTTTCCACCTTAAATATGAAAACCAAGTCCAGAAAAGTCAAGAGACCAGTGGGTGACAAAACGGAGAGTCTATGCTGTTAACTAACACAAAATATTAACATAATTTAGGGTAAAACACCTTCACAGTTCAGATCTGTTCGTGTGTTTTAATTTAAGATTACTGGTGACTTTTAAGCTTTAAGCTGCTGGCTTTAAAACTGAAAAAATATTCTCAGTATCCTATAATTATACATAATTATATGTATATATATTTGTGTATTTCACACAGTTTTATATATGTTACGAAAATTACCGTAGTGAGTTTAGAACAAATTTTTTTACAAAGGTAATTTAGTGTCGAATATTTTCATATACTGGAAAATGTTCAACGTATTCTTAGAAGAGGGAAAGTAGATTATTACAATTCTTTCTATTTCCCCCCTGAATCTACCTGGATTTTACCTGTTTCTGCAGCGCGCTGCTGTGACGCACGTCGCGTCCTCTCTCGGGTCAGCATCGGAAATATGTGCTGCTACACAGACAGGATGAGACCGGATCCAGTGTGCACAGCATACACCTGCAGTTACTTAGAAGTGGACACGACCCTTTCTCCTCCTCTCTCGTCCTTGAGATCAGCCGCTTTTTGAAGATTTTGTTGGGACCAAAGCCAAGAGAAAATCTGGGGACCTGAAACTCGCACTGGGAATATTTCCAATCAGATTTCGGGATTTTTGAGTTCATGAGCGCTTTTGTACCTCCAAGTTGCAACACAGCCAGTCATGAAAAAGTAAAAGAAGAAAGTGTGAGAAGACAGCTCCTCGATGAAAAAGAGCTGTATTGTTTTTCAGAATTGCGTTTTTACGCATATGCATCTCAAACCTGGAGTGAAACACAGGCTGTGAAATTACAGAAAATATTTGAAGCTTCGTCTTTCTCTAACTGAAACACAGATTTCTACTAATGGTTGTCATGGCTCACACCAGCGCGCGGATGTGAATAAAGATAAACTCACAGATTTACAGATTGGGTAACATCCAGCTTAAACGCGACTTTGCTTTCCCGTCACCTCTGGTCACAAAACGGGACATTCTGAAGCGGAGGTGCCGTGGTTAACGCCATGAGACCATCCAAATACTAATGTGATGGGTAAGATTACCACTTAATGCACACATCGCCTGTTACGCGCGTTAATAAATCAAACACCATCAAGCCACGCATTTTCTTCCTCTTAGATCTCCAAAAAACGCTTCCCACTGTGGGGGCATGCAAAAGTCATTTTAAATCAATTGTAGGGTCTTAGTTATTTTTTTTTCCTCCAAATTTGTGGATAACTTTGTATTTTTATTTAGAACATAAGAATCTGCAAACGCAGCTCAGATGATGAACGGACGGAATGAAAGAGTGTTTAATGAAGAGAACCTGATGTGCGTTGAACCGCAGCTTGTACGCAAAATAATTCAATTCAATTCAGTTCAATTCGTTATTATTTATGTTGCACCAAATCACAACAGCATTCCCATAAAGGCGCTTTATATGGTAAGGTAGACCCTACAATAATTATTCTAATGCTGGGTAATAATTGGATCATTAACTTCACTGTATTTACTGGATTATCTCCACATTGTAGGAACAGAAAGTCAGTCATTACTTCTGTTTTATAAAAACATGTTAGATTCATGATCCTACTCAGTTCTTTTGTATGAAAAGATGAGAAATCAGATTCATTCATTTTGCCTCTGTTTTCCTAGTTGAGATCATACATTTAACTACAAATTTACTTCTTTTTTTCAAATAAGAAGCTTTAAACATTTCCTTGGTTGTTTAACAAAGGTTTTAATCGTCTGAATGTAATCTAATCAAATGGTTAAAAAAATCAAGAACTGGGTATATTTTCATAATTTTCTGGCTCAGACTCTATATGATGTTTGTGCATTTGAATCACACACTGTGATAGAATTTGAGTGGAAACTAACTGAAAGGGTTGAAGGAGAAAACCAGGTTTAATAGAACGGTCTCTTTATAACATAAATAGGTGCTGAGAAATGCATTAGTGCATTTTTCAGCACCTTTTCCACCTTCCTGCCCTCTTTAACACAAGCCAGCTACTCAACAAATTACGGCTCTGTCGAAGAAGCCACAGATGTTGGATAAACTGACAATAATTGTTATTATTGTAAATTTAACTTTTGCTTTTTGTTTTTTAATTGGTTCTGTCGAGAGTAAGAAACATCTAAAAGAATCTGTTTTAAAGTATTTTTGACATACGAGTGAAACTTTCTGTTTTTCCTTTACCTGCTTCACAATGTGAACCTCCATCACCAATGAAGAGAAATGCAATAACACCATTTTGGTGATAAAACATCAGCCTTTCCGTGTAAAGAATTTTCTAAAATTAAGAAGTGCAGGAAAAAGGTTTTAGGATGTTATTGTGCTTTTCTAGAAACATGTGCACAAAAATAGGTTGAAATATTTATATTTTTCTGGTTTTAAGAAAATTTCACTTCTGCAGCCCATTTCCTGGCAATAAATATTTATGAAAGCTGGGTTAACATATCAGATTTATTTTCATTTTTAAGTCTAATGAAGAAGATATGTTGTGCTTAGTTGGAGTGAAGCGCTCAGCAAGCACTGAAGGGTGGACTGATGGCTGTTGACCTTTGAGTGTGTGTGTGTGCGAGTGCGTGTTGTGTTTGGTCATTTGTGTATAATGCTGACTGGCTGTGTGGGTGTAAATGACTCTCCAGCCCTCGGGGGTGACAGAGTACCGTCACTATGGAAACCCAACGCAATAGCCAGTGATGAGTTGATCCTCAGCCTGCTGATGAGGGAGCTCAGCAGCTCAGAGTGTGTTGTATAAAATTTCTGAGTGGCTTCAGGTTCAAACGTGTCCGACTTTGATTGTATCACAGCACGCTGACATACTGTCATCTTCGGCCTGGAGCCTTTACAGATTACAGATCATATGAAAATGATGCTGAGAGTTCAGATGGATTACGGTGACAAAATGCGTGTAGCATGAAAGTGTGGTCAAGTAGACCTGTGGTAGTGCTTTTCTGTGATGTGTAACAGAGAGAGTTTAATTCATGCATTAGTGTTTGGTTGCTATAAATTATGATCCATAGGGTTTTTAATTTTGGTTTAAATGGCTGTGACAGAAGAAACGTGCATGTAGTGAAGGTGTGTGTGAATGGGTGGATGACAGGTTGTGTAAAGTGCTTTGGGGTCCTTAGGGACTAGAAAAGCGCTATACAAATACAGGCCATTTACCATGTAAGTAGGTCAAACATAATGAATATTATATTATTATATATTCAGTATATAATAATATTTATTATTTACTGGAAACTGCTCAACTTTTAGCTCCTTAAATTATTTTCATACCAAAAAGTGCTCTAAAAAGATCCATAAAGCAGACTTGTCACATCCTAGTTTTCTAAACCAAAGTTTGGACACAACCTTGCATTTATTTATTTTTAATTCTAGAAAGTACCTTTGTATTTGTATGTTTCTCCTGTTTGTCCAGTATCATGCAATCTTACAGATCCACAGAACATTTATGACATCTGGTAGCTTCTAGGGGGATTACCTCCACTCTCTGATGATGAAGTGAAAACCTGTGGTTCTTCAAAAACCTGCATCAGGTTGGCTTTAAATATGGCACAATCCCTGTAGACACCCAAAGAAAATGACAAACATGGTGCACTAAAAGTACTTTTAGAAGTACATTTTTCCAAACACTTACATTTACTGAAATTTACTTGAGTAGGCTTAGGGGTTGGCACTTCTGCATGCAGTCAAGTTCTAGAGTCTTGCTAATGACCTACTAATTGTATTCAGGTGTGTTGCAACAGTCTCAGGACACTGGCCCCTGAGGACTGGAGTTCGAGACTCCTGCGTATGCAAGCTGTATGCTAGCTTTTACCTGTGGTAAAAAAATAATTGTACTTTTAATCCAATTGCCTGACAATTATAAGGCTTTTTGTGAGGCACAAACAGCATGTTCACCAGTTTTGATGTGTTAAAGTCTAGCACTTTATTAATCTGTCGCCTAACACGTATGGTAAACATTCCAGTACTAGACTAGCATAATTTCCACTTTGTTGAGTACTCAAAGTACTTGCTGCAAAAAACAAAAAACTGCTGAGCAATGGACGATGATTAAAAACTCATATTCTGGTTCCACCAATGAGGAAGTTTTTTCTCCCTGATGAAGCTTTGGACAGTTTCAGGGAATTTGTATTGTATTAAGATTTTAGCTTTATGTTAGTTACATCTCCTTTCATGCTACTGTCTGCATCTGCCTGCTGGCATTTTAGTGTCTGTCATGATTTATTTTGTAAATCATCAAGAAAACTCAAAGTCATGATGCAACATTGGACTGACTGACTGCAGTCATTCAGTTGCCTGCAAGGGGAACTTGTCAGATTTCCTTCTGCTGACGCATTAAATGGTTGACGAACATTTGCTAGTGACTCAATAGTGTTTTAATTTTTCTTTCAGTTCACTAATACACATGTAATTCTGCTTTGGGACCATACATATATTAAATATGAATGAAAAGCAAATGATACAATGTAATGATATAATGTTTCTGTTTTTCTCTTATATAGTTTGAAGGAGACAAATTAGGTATAACCTTTTTCCAATTTCTAATCTGAAAACAGTTTAGTGCATGTTTGTGCGCCAATGAATGCTTTATTGTTTAATTCTCAGGTTGTTTTAAGTGCATTTAGCTGAATGCCTTCAAGTAACAGGCGCCAAATGTTTAATGGACAGTTAGCCTGTAAAATACTGACAAGTGAGGCTTGTTTAGATTTTTTTTAACCTTCACAACGTGTCTGAGAAGCCCAGTTGACCTGAACACAAAGAAATTATACAATTTCTTTTAGTTTTGATGCATTCTCAATCATCCAGGAAAGTAAATCTACAAAAGTTGATTCTGTTCATCTGGACGTAGCGTTTTGTGGGAGAAACGTTTCGTCACTCATCCAAGTGACTTCTTCAGTCTCAGCTGACTGCAGGTTTCCCCAATCTTATAAACAGTACATTTGCACAATGATTGAAACCAGCCCACTGAAGAAACAATGGGCTGGGAGGTCAGTTCCTTCATCATAATTATGCAAATTCTCATTCTCATTCCCGCAAAATGCTACGTCCAGATGAACAGAATCAACTTTTGGAGAAATTTCTATTAGAAACATATACATTTGTACACCTCCTGATTATTGTTCTTTAATAATCCAGACACGATGAAAGGTATGACTAAATGTCCACTTCAGAGTGTGACACAGTGGAACTCAACTTGACAATATCTCTTACGTGATTTCAATGCCAATGTGAAAACTCTGAGAAGAGCTCTTTCAGTGGAAAATCCAGATTAAAATGTCTCGAGGATGCTTGATTATGGTTTGCCATGTTAAACTGAGCTCTCCTTAAAGTCTGGATCAAGTGGGAAATGCATTTTCTTCCTTGGACCTCTCGATTGTTGGCCCGCTTTGCACTTGGCTTACTGTGACTACATTTTCTGACCAATTAGATTACTGACAAAAATGAAGTATTAGAATCAATAAGCAGTATTTTCTGTAATGGCTGCTGGCAAGAGTTCAAACATTTTAGAGCTTCACGGCAGAGCCATAAAGTATAGTTGTAAAAATGTAACAGCAACATCATTATCTTTCCTACAGGCTCCCCACCCACCATCTGCATCCCTTTTCTCCTTATATATCATCATCATCTCTTTTAATTTTCCTTCCCCGTCACTATGCTCTCTCCCCCATAACATGATTTTCCTCATTACCTTCTTTTTCTCTGACCTTCTTCATCTTTGTGTATCCTTCACCCTGCTTCTTTCCCCTCCTCTCATTATCTTCTTTCCATCTGTTCTTTTGCACCTCCTGGCTGACCTGTGCCTCTCTCTCTTCTTCCTTCTCTTGCTCCACTTCCAACCCAATCTCTTCTCTAATAAGCGTTTCCTGCATAGAAACCCTCACTTTCTCCCAAAAGAGCTTTTGGGCAAAGCCAAAGGGAAACTGCCAGCGTTGTAATAAGTTTAGGTTTTTAAATGAGTTATTTTAATGAGGGTTTCAGTTACTCAACCATAACAAAGATTCCTGTTTACAGAGAATTGAAAAAATCCACAGATTTCTATCAAATAACATAACAAAGACTCATTGCAGACTCATTACTCTTATGCTGACTAATTGTCCTTACGCAGGTCAGTCACCAGCCAAATCCCAGTGTGAGTCAGGAAAACCCTGCTAATATTCCCTCGGTGGTCTCCTTCTCCCTTTTCCCTTCTCTTCTGAGAAAAGTTTAAAATAATTTTAAACTTAAGACCTTCTCTCAATCTGGATTTTGATTGAGTTTCCTTTAAACCAATCATACATACGTTGCTTCCGTGTTTGACCATTTAACCAGGTTCAATCACTGATCTGGGTTTGCACCCCAAACCCAGATAAACTGCCAAAAATGGCTGTCCGGATGAATAATTACTGGTTTCTCAGTCATGTGTGAAGTCCTTTAAACTACTCGAACCAAAAAATAAACTCTGACTCATTGCTTTGATTGCAGGGTGTTGATGGAGAGGATTTCGGATGTCAGCCGGGACAGTGGTCATCGCAGGAGGAATTTTGGCTACAGTCATCTTACTGACGATCGTCGCTGTGCTGTGTTTATGTAGGTTGCAGGTATGATTGTCTCACTGTTCATTACACATCTAAAGTTTAACAGAATGCAAAATGCACCTCAGCACCGTATTCATGAAAACAAGAAACTTGACAAATGTTCACACATGATGTGTGCAGTGCAAAAAGCTGGGAGTAATTTGCTGCCCCAGACAGTTTTCCTAATTATCAAAGTAGTCCAAGTGGAACATTTCTGTGTTTACTTTTGGCCAGACTGGATTTGTGTAACAATCTTGCTTTTTTTTTAGAAATCTACAGCTGACATCCAAATAGTGCAACACAACCTGCCGAGACAGAGCATACACACTAATAACAAATAACTCATGTTGAAATAATCCTCAACTGTAAGACCTTTAAAACCGAATGGGACTTTTTTTGAGACTTTCAGAAACTCACATCCACATGTTTTCTTCCTGAGTGAGTCCTAGCAGTTAGCATGTAAGGTTGCAACTGTAGTTTTAGGAGTGATGGATACTTTTTGTAATCACCTGCCAAATATCATTTGAAAGTGATGGTCTGCAAGTGCCTTTCATGCTCTCACAGAGACGCCAAGTATATGCTAGCTACTTCCTAGCTTTGAAAGCTCCTCAGCTGGCAGTTTGTTCTTCATCTTTGTGATTCTGTTTACACCTGATTTCTTCCATGTTACCAATAGGTGGTCATAGATAGACGGTTCATTGCTTTCATGAAAATGTTAAGATTCAGACAAAGACATGCCAACTAGCTCACTACACTCGCTCGCTATCTTTCAAAGTTACGCAAACCAGCTTGTTTTTTCATGCCCTATATTTACTGTGGTTTATACTTATAGTTAACACGGATCCGATTGGTTGAAACATATGATTTGAAACTCTCCAAAAGTTGATTTTGTTCATCTGGACGTAGCGTTTTCTCCAGATGAACAGAATCAACTTTTGGAGATTTACTTACCTGGATGATTGAGAATGCATCAAGACATTTGTTTTGAAAGTGCTCGTTCTTTTCTCCTTTGGTTAACCGTTTGTCTTTTTAAATGTTTGACTCTCACCTGGTCCAGTATTACTGCTGTAAGAGGGAGGAGTCTGAGAAGGGGGAAGAGGAGGAACCTGAGCTCGCCACCATGTCGCCGTCTCGCCCCCTGGCTCTGTCGGCTCCCCCTACGCCTCCGACACCAGAGCAATACAGTGACGAGCCCGAGACGTACCCTCCCACTTTCCTCACTGAAGCCAACGGCCCCGTCAGCTACTCACCTCCGCCTCCGCCACCACGCAGGTGCTATCGCTCGCATGCCTTCTGCCCTTCCTGTGCCCGCTGCTCACTGCCCTTCTACTTGCAGCACCCAGAGAGGCTGTGCAATGGCGGTCGCAGGATCAGCTACAGGACTGTGCAGCAGCAGGACATGGAGTTGCCCATGGACTTGGCCAGCTTCTACCAGAAGCTGAACCTCATCCGCCAGGTCACCATGAAGGAAGTAGTCACCCACAGCGTCAGCACCGACGTTTAGGAAAGCAGCACCGCTGATTTAAACGATTCGATACACATTCAATTATTTCAGCACTTTGCTGTCAGTGTTAAACTGATAAATGGCTTTTAGACCAAACGTCAGGGCAGCGATGATGGAAATTCTGCAACGCTAAACGCATCATCTAAACACACGAAGGGACTAATTTCAAAAACTGCTCCTTTTATTTGCTGAATAGCTAGGTAAGTAGCTACTTAACATATCTGCTGTCAAAGCATAAACAAGAATCGACAAAAATCCACACAGATTTCATTTGTTTAAATGCACCACACCAGTGCGAACAGAGGAGGTAAGATAAGTCTGGTTGTGTGGATATTAAAGATAATGTCAGACCAAAACCAGCAAGTATTATGTGAGTGTATCAAAGCCTGTTCTCTCTGTCCCACAGAGCTCCACTGTTGTTCCTAAAATAGTTAGATATCTCACTGTTGACCTCGGTGACTTGTTCTTTCATTAGCATGAATGCAAACATTGTAGCATACATAGGCCTAGCCCCACACACACTGTCCCGCTGTCACAAAAAAACACTGAAGCACCAAATGTAGATTAATCTGTCACTGAAAATAGTCCCCAGCTATTGGTCTGTTAAATCCAACGACTGAGGAAATAATCTTTTCAACAGAGAGTATTTATTTGTATGTAAGCTGTTTTTCAACTCTTACACACTTAGTTTAACTTCAGGTAAAAGCTCATAACTGCACAGACACGGTCTCTTCCTTTGAAAGAGTGATCAGGTGTTGAGACCAAGCGCACGGAAAAGTTTTCACGCAGCGATTAAATAGATTCATGCCATAAGAGGCCATGTATTAAAAAAAAATGTAATTTTTAACAAAAACATATGCGTCACACAGAGTTGAGATTGAGCACTGAAAATCAGAAACAAAAGACATGCTTTTACAAGCTGGAATCAGAACTTTCAGCGCAGTTTCATAAAAATCAAAAAGTCTACCCAGTTTTAATTTGGGCTCATATTCAAGTGTATCTCCTTGTGCACCTGTGGACTGGTTTCATCCTGGCTTCTATTGTTTTTCATGCAGTGTATGCTGGATCTCCTTCACTGTGCGAAAATGTTGATCTTAAGAGTTCATTTTATTTTGGTGGTAAAAATTCCAGTGAGGCAAATTTGGTGAATGATCGTGTTGCTGTGGAGTTTTCAATGCACTCTGCACTCTGAGCGGACACATCACGGCACATAAAACCACACCACAGACCCTCTGACTGGTCTCCCTCAGACTCCCCACGTTGAATTCATGAACTCGTGATTAATAAACTGAGCAATTCTGCCTTTGAGCAGCTTCTTGGTCATCACCAAGTGCTGATCGCCTTCTTGTGAAATTTGGGTCGGTTTTAAACAAAAGATGTTTAACCTCTGCCAAAGTTTAAGGTCACACTGTAAATACCCAAAATGAGATTTCCGTGACAGGGTCTAAAAATCGCAGCTATTCGGACGTGCCTGAGGAGATGATTATGAATGGGAGACTGGCTAGATTGATCACACCTTGTATAAAGAGACAGAATTTAAAAAAACAGAATGTGCAGAGGAGGAGAAGAGGATGACCACAGAAAATTCCTGGATGTAGTGAAGGAGGACATGCAGAGGGTGGGTGTGACAGAAGAGGATGCTGGGATATGGTGATGATAGAGGCAGATGAGTTGCTGTGGTGACTCCTAAAGGGAGCAGCTGAAAGAAGAAGAAGAAAACGGATACATAAAAATGCATAAAAGCTCAAATAATTTCTCATACAGATTCTGGTTGACTCATATTTGTGTTCATTGGTGTAGCTGTCACACAGGGTCAACACGGGGTTGTTGGGTTTTTTGTTTGCCTTCCGACATCAGAGGCTGGAGAGCCAGGCTGTGATATGTCAGTATGTGACTGTTTCAGTATTAACAGAGAAAACTAACATTATTTTAAAGGGCTTTTCTGGAGCATTCAGTGATCCAGTGACTGTGAATTATGAGGGACAACATTTATATCCTGTTAAGACATCATGCTGTAGATAAACGCTGTTCTCCAACTTAGATATTAAGTATTTAATACCTAAAGGAGGAGGAATGAATTGTACATACAGTATTTAAGGGGAAAAGATACAGATATATGTCAAATATTCTTGATGACAGAGCAGTAGATCCAAATTATATTTTACAAATTTTACATCCATAGAGAGAAACAACTCTACAGCTCCTGGACTCATTTATTCTTCTTTCACAAAACAACACAGATGCTGACAAATTTATCGGATCGGAAACTTTGTTTGGAGCAAACTTTCACTCTAGCAACATGTATGATAAAATAGTACGCTGCTAATCAAAAAGGTTTGTTCTCATAGGCTCACAGAGAGACTGGGTGTATTTGCCTGTCTGTCAAACAGTGCACAACCTGCAGTGCTGTGATCTGAAACATATATTTGGAAATCTTTCAGCAGAAGACTTTTACTATATGATGAAAACTTATGAGACTGTATATGCCTATATGTATATCTCCAGCTGCATTGCTGGAGTCTGATATTTTTTGGCCACCTTTTTTGAGCAAGAAGGTAAATCTAACCAAGAGCAAGAACAGACCACACAGTTATACAACCGGAACTTACCAGCCATGCCCTCAATCATACACTGCTTCACAATTCACTCTAAACGAGACCATGATTTAAAATAAACCTCATATTATATCAAATAAATAACGGCTTGAAACTAGTAATAGAAACTATCAATTAAAGAAAGCACTGTCCTTCACAACCAGAGCAGTTGCTGCATGATGGCCATTAAGAAATAGGCAGGTTTACTTAGTTTAGTGCAGCATTACTGCAATAAAAAAACTTAAAACTGGCTGTTTGTACACTGACACAGCTAAACTGACTGCACAGTAGTTCTGTTCAGTTTTTGATAAACATTAGCAAATGATCCTTCACTTTTCTAACAAGCTTCAAGCCGGATGGATGGTAGAATCACAGCCATGAAGACAAAAACAGAGGCACATCATTCAACTCCTGCCCCCTTGTCATAGTGTGGTCTGTGCCAGCTGGTCCTGAAGCCACCATCTTTAGTCAGTGCATTTGGTTTGTTTCTCTCCTCTGCTCGCTGTTTCACTTTGTTTGTGTGAGGTGCTTTTAGTCCTTCAATTCACTGCATCAAAAAAATAAATGAACATATATGTGCAGCATCTACACATCTTTCATTACCTCATACATGGATTATTGTCTCTAAGTTTAATGTCCACAGAAAAACCATGTTCCATACATTATGTATCATATGGTCATCCCATGATTTCTCCATGCAGCCTCCAGAAAGCTGAACATGCTTAGAAAAGATGTCAAGAAAGGTTATATTTTTATTTGGTCGTCCTAAGTAAAGCACTGTCCTCACAGCTCCTTCTGATCTGTGTGAGTTTGGGTCATGGATTGCTTCTGCTCACTGAGGAATGACACTATTCAGGGTAAGAGAACATACAGTGGGGCAAAAAAGTATTTAGTCAGCCACCGATTGTGCAAGTTCCCCCACCTAAAATTATGACAGAGGTCAGTAATTTGCACCAGAGGTACACTTCAACTGTGAGAGACAGAATGTGAAAAAAAAATCCATGAATCCACATGGTAGGATTTGTAAAGAATTTATTCGTAAATCAGGGTGGAAAATAAGTATTTGGTCAATAACAAAAATACAACTCAATACTTTGTAACATAACCTTTGTTGGCAATAACAGAGGTCAAACGTTTACTATAGGTCTTTACCAGGTTTGCACACACAGTAGCTGGTATTTTGGCCCATTCCTCCATGCAGATCTTCTCGAGAGCAGTGATGTTTTGGGGCTGTCGCCGAGCAACACGGACTTTCAACTCCCGCCACAGATTTTCTATGGGGTTGAGGTCTGGAGACTGGCTAGGCCACTCCAGGACTTTCAAATGCTTCTTACGGAGCCACTCCTTTGTTGCCCGGGCGGTGTGTTTTGGATCATTGTCATGTTGGAAGACCCAGCCTCGTTTCATCTTCAAAGTTCTCACTGATGGAAGGAGGTTTTGGCTCAAAATCTCACGATACATGGCCCCATTCATTCTGTCCTTAACACGGATCAGTCGTCCTGTCCCCTTGGCAGAAAAACAGCCCCATAGCATGATGTTTCCACCCCCATGCTTCACAGTAGGTATGGTGTTCTTGGGATGCAACTCAGTATTCTTCTTCCTCCAAACACGACGAGTTGAGTTTATACCAAAAAGTTCTACTTTGGTTTCATCTGACCACATGACATTCTCCCAATCCTCTGCTGTATCATCCATGTGCTCTCTGGCAAACTTCAGACGGGCCTGGACATGCACTGGCTTCAGCAGCGGAACACGTCTGGCACTGCGGGATTTGATTCCCTGCCGTTGTAGTGTGTTACTGATGGTGACCTTTGTTACTTTGGTCCCAGCTCTCTGCAGGTCATTCACCAGGTCCCCCCGTGTGGTTCTGGGATCTTTGCTCACCGTTCTCATGATCATTGTGACCCCACGGGATGAGATCTTGCGTGGAGCCCCAGATCGAGGGAGATTATCAGTGGTCTTGTATGTCTTCCATTTTCTGATGATTGCTCCCACAGTTGATTTTTTCACACCAAGCTGCTTGCCTATTGTAGATTCACTCTTCCCAGTCTGGTGCAGGTCTACAATACTTTTCCTGGTGTCCTTCGAAAGCTCTTTGGTCTTGGCCATGGCGGAGTTTGGAGTCTGACTGTTTGAGGCTGTGGACAGGTGTCTTTTATACAGATGATGAGTTCAAACAGGTGCCATTCATACAGGTAACGAGTGGGGGACAGAAAAGCTTCTTACAGAAGACGTTACAGGTCTGTGAGAGCCAGAGATTTTCCTTGTTTGAGGTGACCAAATACTTATTTTCCACCCTGATTTACGAATAAATTCTTTACAAATCCTACCATGTGAATTCATGGATTTTTTTTTCACATTCTGTCTCTCACAGTTGAAGTGTACCTCTGGTGCAAATTACTGACCTCTGTCATCATTTTAAGTGGGGGAACTTGCACAATCGGTGGCTGACTAAATACTTTTTTGCCCCACTGTATTTGTGCCACTTAAGGTGTTTTCCGAGATACAGCTGCAGGTTGCTCTCTGTGATGACTGCAGAGTTTTTATCCACAGCAGTTCTTCATTTTTTATTTTATTTTGTATTTTTTTTTAGAAAAGATTGAAACTGTTGCTTTGGTTTATTTTTCTGCTTGATGTGTTTCAATTATCCTGTCAGTGCAGCAGATGAGGCGTTTGGGTCTGTCAAACTGGCCAGCAGGAGGCGTCAGTCACCTCTGCAGCCAAACCTTTGTTTACTGTAGCCGCTCTGTGTGTCAAGTTCATTTACTGTGTTAATAAAATGATGCAAAACTTTGGGGTGTCGGTGTAATTCCCTCCAGAAAAGGACCAAAGCAAAATGTGCATTATTTCATTGACTTGTCTACATCCAAAACGGCTTCAGAGAGGAGACGGGGGTCTTGGAGAAGAATAAACACAACGTCCTCAGCACCACTTTCACACTTTACGTTACTCTGTATGAAAAAAATAACTACACTTACTCACATATTGTAGTTACAGTATATTAGCCCAGCTAAATTACAGACCATAGACTCAGTTTTAGGACTCTGAACTAGACTAAATTAGAATATGCCGCTCCGTCTGCTACAAATGAAACTCTTACACTTTCATGTCATTTAAATTGCAGTTTGCTTTGAGCCCTTGGTCCCAGATTTCTGTGCTGTTTTAGTGTTTGCATTTCTTATTCTTGAAGTTGTTGAGCATGTGGTTCCTGTTTGCCTTTGTTATTTTTTTTTACAATATGTTTGGGTTGTGTGATATTATCTTATTTCTGTGGTCTCTGTGTTGATTTTGTTATGACAGTCTCCCTGTTTATGCCTCTCTTTGTCTCATCTTCATGCTCAGGCTTAGCTGTTTACTTCCTTACTTTTTACTTCCTGTTTTATTTTTTAAGGTTAGTTTTCTTTCGTGTCTTACATTAATTTTACATTCTGCCCTGATTGTCTTCACCTGTGTTCATTTCTTTTCATCTTTGTCTCTTTGTTCTTCTGTCACGTCCCAATCAGCTCTCAGTGTAAATGTAGCTCTACTTTCCCTTCTCCTTTAAGGCATCTGATAGACGGCTCATTTTTGCTTACTGCATGTGGTTTTCTCTCATTTGCTCCTTCGTATAGCTGAACTTTAGTTTATGGTTTGGATCTTTAGCATTTTGCTAAGTAGACCAAAGATCATGGCCTTTGTTTTTAATTTTGACAGCATACTGCATTTGGGTTGTCTATACTGCACAGCCTTGACACATATCTTTGACACCTCCTGTCAAATCCATAAGTATTTGAGATAATAACCCTCAGCCGCTACAGTGGAGTGGCCTATAGACCTGGTCCCTGTACTACGAAGCAAGTTCACATACCCGGGATATCTGGCTTCACTTAACCTAACAATCAGGCTGAGCAGTCAAGGTGGATATCATCTTAATAAGATGAGCGAGTCCACATGACCTGGAAACATGACGAGAACTCAACACACAACCTGACACTGGACAAAGGAAGACATAGGACTTAAATACACACAGGAGGTGATCAGGGGAAGTGGAAACACCTGGAGAATCAGCTGCGTAAATATAAGTAAATGAGACTTAAACATAAACAATGAATATCAAAGTATAAGAAAACTCAAAACCCTGGGTCAAATGACCCAGAACCGTGCCATAATATTTGAATATTAATGTGTAAGTTTATCACAGATTTATCAGTATCACATCATTAAGACACAGGATAATCTGATTGATTATAATTCTTATTACATTAAATGAGAGTTTAGATATATATGTGTGAGGCACAGCTGTCGTGGTGGTGTTTAACGATCTGAGAGAAATAACTAAATAAATAGAATTTAAATGCAGGCTTAATCTGCGTGCAAACATGATATGAAGTAAACAAGTAAAAACAGGTGGGAGTCAAGGACAAGGAGACGTGTGCCACAGTGCAGTTCATTCATTCCCAGTTCACATCTTGCTATGATATAGCAGCGCAAACAAGCCCAGTAAAGCCTTTCTTTTCAGTTTCAAGTCTTCTGTCATAGCCATCTAAAGATATTAACTCTTCCTAAGATGAAGAAGATTATTTTGGCTGCTCCTGTATTCACAAAAGATGATTTGCAGACTATTCTTTGTGGCAGTTGCCCTTCGTGACACAATTCTATTGGAGATTATGTATCGGAATTTCAGGAGCGGGATCACACCTCCAAACACACTCCTTCCGGTTGTCATCTGTATAGGTTCCCCCAGTTCTGCAAGCTGTTCATTCTCGTTTACGTGCCCCACCGTCCCTCCCTCCTTGTTCTCAATTCTTTAACGTCTTCCTTTCTATTTAGTGCATGGGGATCTGTCAGGCCCAAGAGCCATCGCCAGTCCCCTTCCGGCCTTTCCCAAACCGCAGTTCAATTCATGTCAAAGCATTCACTTTTACCTACTAAAACGCTGTCAAACCTAAAATGAAGACGTGGGCCCAGCTAGTGAACAGGAGTTTGGGTCTCCTCCTGAGTTTTAACAGGCACTTGTTAGGTAAATGTGTAAAGCACTACACTACGGGACCAACAGACTAACCTTTCTTAAAGATGTGCGATTGCCCCAGTCTAACTGAGGCTTTGGAGATATTGGCTAACAACAAACTACCATCCACTGAACTGGCACAATAACTAAAAGTAGCCAGTCTCAGTTGTGTTTTAAGAAAAAGAAATCTTCAAGTCAGACAAGTCTTGTTGTGACTATGTGTTAAAATGTTCCTCCAGATTTCTTTCTACAGTTTGTTACTCAAATTAAAAACGCAAAAACTAATGTGGTATCCATTCCTGTAAAGAAAAATATCAAAAAAGTGCAAAAGTTAAACATGAGAGAGGCAAAATGTTTGAACTGTTATTTAATTGAAATACATGTCAGTACCATTAGGTTTTCAGTTTATTATCAACAGTACACAAACTCCATATTTAGTTTTGTACAAAGAGGTATCGGCAATATAAAAACACAGTACACATTAGTTAGACATACACGTACACGTCTTCTGAATACATTTCACCCATACTTCAAGTTTCAGGGATCTCTCTGTCTGTGTTCGGATCAACTCTCTCCTCCTCTGTCGCGCACACAGACCAGAGCTGGTATCAGTTGACCTGATGAATAACCATAGACTGGCATCAGGAGCGTCACGCTAAATGAAAATGTTCTATCACTAATAAATATGCTTCCATATCCTGCAGGCACGCCGGTGTGGCGTCAAAAGGCAGGAGACGGAATGGAAATATAAGCTATATATATATTTATATATATTTAATTTTTTTTTTACTTCCTGTTTGGCCATACCAGACGCTAAAACTGAAACACATTTAAATAATATTTCATAAACAGTATCTGTTTTAAATATTCTACTCATGCAATATCTTCAGTTGAGAAA